GCCATTACGAAGGCTTGAGTTGGTGTCTGTAAGCATACTCTGGTGACTAACCTGAATGACAAAAAGGTTGGTTTCAAAAAAAAAAAATAAACTCTACATATATATGACTGCAATAGGAGAACTCGTCAAACAAAGTGGATATTAAACAGCATCAGTCAAATCTATTTGTCATGTGTTATAGGTAGCCTATAGAAGAACATATTGGATTACTATAGAGATATTATTTAAGATAGGTGAAATGTGATGTTGTCAAAAAAGGAGGTGGGAGAAAGGAGCAGAATAAAAAAAATATCAGCACCAAATAAGAAGAAAATGTTTGCCATGAGGTTTAAAATTTTGGCAACGCATATCCAAGGATCCTACATATCTTTGGACAAGGGTCCTGCTGAGCTCTGATGACCCTCCAGATGCTGTAGATGCTCCAAACATCTGCAGAGTTTGCTCCATACGTAACTCTTGGTGTGCAAGTGGAAATGGCAACATGGGGGCTGTAGAAAGTGTGCTGCCCGAGGAGGCAGTTCATCATGAGACAAAATATTACATCTGGTTCAAGTTATCAATGCCCCCCCTCACTCCAGTTGCTTTCCGATAGGAATTAGACAGGCAATAATACCTGCATCAATGGAAAACAGTTTCCCCCAAAGATAAAACAAATCAGTATTGCAAGAATGTGACTGAGGAAAATGTTTAGAAGACAAAGAGGGTTTAGAGAATCATTAGCAGTGGATTGAAACAGGTATTTAGTAGCATGACTACCAAGGTATCTCAGCAGAGAATCCCACAGAAAAGCACAGGCTATTGCATATTTCACATTAGCCATTCAGCAACCATGTGATCATACTATTAATGAGAAATTAAGGATTGGAGGAAATAGCAGGCTTTGAACCATAAAATTTAGGTTTTAATTATTAGTGTATTGAAGTGAGCACAAGAATAATAAAAGTGAGAGAAAGATAACAGAATACAATGATTTTCTGACAAACAAGATAATTATTTCAACCAAATTTCCCATTGAAAGAAAAAAAAAAGAGTCTATTAGAAAGAAATATAGAAACATGACTCTCTTCAAAAATAATTAGTTTAAGTATATTGTAGAACTCAAAGCCTTTTGAAGGCTTACCTCACCCCTATTTAAATACTGCTGTAAATTGAAATCTCACAAGGAAAGAAGTAGAGTTTACATTAATATATGTATTTCATTATTGACACTAGTATGGATCTGGCATCATAATTCCTTGTTTTGTAGTTGTAAAATACCAACTTGCTACCATGCAAAAACTGACTATCCCTACTTCCTTCATTGTTTATACAAACAAAACTTCGATTCCTGATTTGCCTTTGTAGCACCCAACATGGCCACAGCATAAACAAGCCAGCCACAACATTCTTCCTCTCTCAATAACAAAAGCACACAAATATTTTGAGACAACCCATAGAAGAGTATTATAAATATTGTGAAGTATTTTGTATTGAAGAAAGAAAGGGAGTAAGGAACATGCCATGTTGGGCATTTCCACAGGTGTGTGTCACTGTGACTCATCTCAGCAACTGAGCTGCAGCTGCTGTGAGAGCCTGGGATGCACCACCTACAGGTGCAAGTTCCTCCCTCTGCAAACTCTCCCCTGTGCTCATCAGGCTGGAGCTATGTACACCTGGCCATGCACCTCACTTGTCCTCACCCCAACCTACCAGCTGGGCTTGCCCTGGACTTCCCTCCTCCCTCACGAAGCAACCTCAATCTCATTCCATCCTGATGGGTGCCTGTGCCAACCCACGATATTGACAGGAAAACGAGTTGCACAGTAAACCACACACATCACACTCACTGTTGGCCCCCTCTGAAAAAGCATAAACCAAAGAGGAAAAAAATTTCCCTAACTTAAAGAAACTCAATTTCACCTCCTATTTCCATGCACTAGAACATGCGTATTAACTGTCCCTGAGGGCACTTCCAGTGATATTATGGGGCATATTATTCACAGCTCTTCTAGGATAAAACCACTCAGTTTTGCAATACAGGCTTACTGCTCCAGTCAGAACTGTTAATGAGATCCTCTAAGGTACAAGTGGAAGAAATTTTGGGGCACCATAAGAATTTATAAGAGCAGATTCAGAAGGAAGAACAGTAAATACCATCCAGGAGCTGATTCTCTCAAACTAATTATCTTTACATCCCAAAATGGATATCAAGTATCTGAGCATTCTTGTTTACACTGTTTGGAAGTTACTTACTAATTTAGCTAATGAAATTAAATAAAAGCTAGAAATAATACACGCTGTCCATTAGGGTACCATTATGAAAAATAAATTTGTAAATATCTCCTCTATAACTAAGGTATTGTTTTATCAGCTTTTTGCTCATGACTTCTTGGTTTTTGAAATTCAAAATCCTATGCAGGTTTTGTAAGAACCTTCTGTATTCACTACAAGTGGCATATTTTAGATAAATTTAGGCCAATTATAAGTTATTATTACAGATCTAATATTTTAAATTAACATTGTACCAAATGTTAAAAGCTCATTTTAAAGGCTATTCTGTACTTTAGACAAGAAGAAATAAAAAAGCCTAAACCACAAAAAAAAAAAAAAAAAAAAGGTATTGTGAACTAAAACAAAGGAAAATTCAAGCATTTTATAATATAATAAATAATAGAATAATAAATAATATAATTTATGTACATCAGGCTCTACATGATAGGAGAGGCCATGGTACCTCAGCCTCCTATTAGTGTTGTTACGCTTCCAAGGAAAGGGTCACGCTGACATGAAAACAGCAAGTCTGGACATATTTAATACCACGCAGTACATTTGAAAACATGAGATTTAACCTCACTGTGGCATTTATTTTACAAATGGAATACAGAAATGGCCCGAGTGTTTAAATGATATTTTTTCTGGTATTTAGTATAGTGCATTTTGACTAAGTGTTTTTCCAAGGGATAGACAGATAAATATGTGCAACAGTTACAGAGGTCCCCTTTCACTGTTACTAATGCTTGTAAGAAATCCAATTAAGAATGGGGTGAAAAGTAATATAAAGATGTAAAGGAAGGGAGAAAGGGATGAAGCTAGTGCAAAGTAATTGAAACATTACAGTGAAACTTATGCCTGTATTCAGTTAAAACAAAATAAAACAGATTAACTGGTAAAATAGTTTGACAAGAATATTTCACAGATATATGCATGTAAAAGATGCAACCTTTGTTCTTCACTCAAATTATGACAAACGAAACACAGGGCACTTAGAGGATTGAGAATATGAGGCTTTCCTAGCCATGTAACTGTATTTGACCATAAGTTTACAATAAATAGTTTTCAGTGGCAAATATTTTGCTTGAACTCATCAATATCACAACAGACATTTCCCCCCCAACACATGGTAATAAAATTCATCAAACCTGCTCCATTCTCTTTTCAAATATTGACCATACCAAGATATTTTTTTTAAATTACAAATCTAACTTTTGGAAAAAAAAAAAAAAAAAAAAAAAAAAAAAGAAATATCAGGTCATTAATTCCTTTGTAATGTTCTACTTTACTAGACACTCCTACTTTCTTTAAGTTAGAATTAAATAAATAATTCCTTAAAGCATTGTTCTGTGAAATTATTTGCAACTGCTCTAACACAATGATAAAGGAAATTGCTGTTTCAGTGTTAATCAATGTTAATTGCAGAGCATCAGCTGACATTATCTATACCGGACAAATTAGAAAAAAAGGTGAAATACTAACAATGTGGAAAGTATCTAAGAAAAGACTGACCTCATTTACCCATTTACCCCCTCTGGATTCTAAAAGCATCCAATAGCTTCATTTTTTATGTTGGCTTTTTCAGAGCGAAATAGATTGAATTGACTCTGATTGGAATACGTTCAAAATCCCTTCTTTTTCTGCCTTGACCTTATCAAGCCAAGACTGTAATGCTTCTCATTATACATGTCTATCCACTTGTAAAATTTAACAAAAATTTTTCCTCAATTCTCCAAAATTAAGAAAGTAACTGATAAAAAAAGTTGTCATATAAACATTAAACGCCTTTTCATTAATACTGCTTTGTCAATAGTCCATTGAAGCCAAACAGGTATTGACCTCTGACTTCATAAGTATCAGAGGAATCGTGCAAGTTTGATGCTTAAATCTCAAATTCTACCTCGTGTCAATGCAGAACCAGTAAGAATACAGAATGTCAACAAAATTTTGTTTTCTTTTTCAGAAATAATAATATGCCTATAATAAACATCTTCAGCATGTGAGACAGAAGTTAGCATGTCAGAACAGCAAAGAAATAACAAATGCTTAGGAAACAAATTTAAATTCGTATTTCTAAAGACTTCATATAGCTGTCTTTCCAGACAACTGCTCAGTCACACCAGTGATTTACTAATCCACTTCAGAGGGATTTCAAATATTGAGCCCTGTTAGAATTCTACTGCTATCACAGAAGCCCAAAGCCACATCCTCATCTCTTGTCCAATAATTGGCCAATGACAAAGGATGGATGAAGTACAAAATCATATTGGATACAGGTGACTCAGTCATCAAGTTATCTCTAATCTCTTCTATAAAATAGGTGACTTTTTCAGATGTATGTGCTCAAAAGGTTATCCACACAACCTATGTTTTCCAACTAAGTGCTGTTAGTTGCATGAAATTAAACCAAAAAATAGTTAATAAGTCATAAAGTAAAGACTACTAGTTTGACAATAACTTCAATACAGCCTGCAAAAAAGGGAAGATGTCAGCAAACTGTGTCTCACTTCTCTACCATTTTTCAAGAGCCTTTACTTACAAAATGAATAAAAGCTAACCTTATAGCTTGAAGTGACTAGAACAAAACAAACCATAGCAACTAAATCCAAAATAAAATGCAATATTTGATATTCTATGTAAAAAGAAGCCAACAAAACCTACAAATTTTTCATAAAGCTAGAAAGCTATGAGGGTGGTATTTTGCATGTCTCCGCAGAAACAATATCAGGAAATCTGTTTAAATGTCCTACCTTCTTGCACCGCCTGAAATGGATTGTTGCCATCCACAAATGTCACTGAACACGTGATTTTCTCTGTTTGTAAGATTTCATCATTCTGGTTGAGATCAGCAACTGCCATTCGAAAAACTTCCTCATCTTTTTTGGCTGATTCATCAAAAATTGCCCCTGGGTAAAAAAAATAATAAAAAAAATTAAATAAAAAAAAAAAGAACAAAAATCACATTACACCTTTACCTGCAGTATCCCAAACCATCAATCATAAGTACTTAAAGACATTTTATGCAATTAACATCATCCCTTTACTCACTCCTGAAGAGCAGTTCTCTTAACACAGAGTCCAGAAGCTACTTCACAATATAAAAATTTTCTACATTTTGACATAATTTAAGACATAAATTGAAGAGAAGCATTGGTTCCAGATAGAAACATTGAGGAAATCTAGTTAAGCACAAAACAAATTATAGGAACATGGCCAAGAAATGAGAACTAACTACCTTTCCAAAGGTGACATTTAATACATTGAACAACTGCAACGGGCTAGGATATACATTTAACATCATGTCTAGTGACAATTAAAAATTATAAAGTTAAAATGAGGTGAGAATAAGCCTAAAATGTTAGCAGCACTGGGAAAATAAGTTAGAATTGACAATCATGATCAATAGACAGATCAGCAGCTGATATAAACTGTCTCAAGTTTAATTTCTTACAGGATTTGTTAAACAACCACTCCAGCTAACTGTCTGACTCTTGAAGTCAGTAAATTAAGTTTAAGCAGTTAATTAAAATAATTTCTGCCTTTATAAATTTGACAGAAAGTGACTGTTCTGCCTTTTTCCCCAAAACATTCAAGCAGAGCATCGTAAAGAGGAAACCATTAAACTCAGGAGGAGTTGGCAGAGTGAGGGTGTCCAACTCTTGCACAGCCATTTCTTCAGGTGTATTGAACAAGAACTCCAAGGCTAATGCAGAGGTTTTAGCTTTTTTTTTTTTTTTTTTCTGTGAACTGCAGTGTCACTTTTAGCATCAGTAATTTCCTATTATCTTACATTTGCTTTTTGTATGAACTATTTATGCAGAGATGGCTCAGATTACACTGTTATAGTCCTATGAAGAACATTATATTGTTTAAAACCTTCAAATCAGGGCTCTTGTTAGATTTTCAAGCACCTTTAAAGCCTTCATTTCCAGGCAGTAGATTAAAGAGACAGAAGGGATGCTTCAAAAACAGAGTTTTGAAAACTGTATTTAATCATTATGAAATTTATTCAGTTTTCAGGTTTATTTATTCTTGAGTGTCTGCTGTCAATACAAAGCTTATGTAGCAAGGCAGCCAAAGATAATAGAAAATGCTGATCACTGACGATTTCAGGTAAGTACCTGCAATCATTGCTGAAAAGAACTGAAAAAAGATTCATTTACAGGAAATGGCTACTTTAAGAGAAACAAATTTTATACACAGTGTTTATCGTGTTTTTCCCACTGACCTCCAACACTCATCTCCCTGCCAACACCACTCATCCTACATGAGCGTCATCTCTTCCTACAATCCGACTGCTTCGTCTTCAGCATTTTCCCTCCTGAAGCTGCTGCCATCTGGAACAGCTGTTCTTTACCTCTCCACCTCATTCACCTGTCATCTCCGCAAATCTCAGCTGAAAACATTAATTTTCTCTCTTTCCCCCATTTCTACTTCCCTTGTTTTATTTAGCTCCACAAAGCAAAGCTGCACATGGGCAAGAATATGCTTGGTATGTAAGATGCTGCAAACCATGTCTTCTCCACAAAAGTGGCTATTTACGTATCCAGGTAACATTTAAGGGTACAAACTGTCCAGTAATATACCTTAAAACATGTTTTTTTCTAACCTCACGGAATAGTTCAAATCAAACCTACACGTGCTTCATTTTGGGGACACACTTATATCGATGATGATGATGATGTAGCCCAGCAAACATTGTTAATAAACCTTTGAGGGAACAATTTTACATGGCTAGTAAGTAACAAGGTTAAAATTAAGAAGAAGAAAAAAAAAAAAAAAAAAAAAGAAAAAAAAAAAAAAAAAAAAAAAAAGGAAAATAATGATAGTAATTAGTCAAATTCTATCCCTGTAGAGTAATTCTGTAACAAATGCCACACTCGAAGGAAGCGTACACAAACAGGTTTCACGCACACACATAGGGCAGCTGTTGACTGTGTTGCAGAACAGCACGTCAAAACAAAGACCTTCCAGCCAACACAGCTTCTTATTCTACAGCTCGAAAATGTCATCTTAAGCCTGGCTTTGTCCCCAGCACAATCCAGGTCATTTATTGAGTAGAGGATACAGAAAAGTCCAAAGTTATCTACTGTTTCTTTTGCACGTGTCATCACAAAAATCCCCTTCAGACGCATAGCCCTTCCACCAGGCAGGAGAGAACTGATCCCAAAACAGTGCATTCACCAGTACAGCACCAATTTTCTCAACAGATGAACCTTCTAGAGAATCTTTCTTATTTCTTTCACAAATAGGTATCCCAAATAAACTTCTATGCTTTTTCTCTCATTTCTCAGCCTGACACAAATCCTACCTCTCTCAGCATCTGGATCTCTAAGGAAGAGGATGAGATGAAACTCCATGCAGCCTTCACAAACGATGCTCTTTCTCACTGTAGTACAATTGCCCCACATTTGCTCTGACTATCTTTTATTTAATTTACGGCTCCCACGTATCAGATGCAAATTCAGAATTTCTCTTCTAACCAATACTACATCTGACATTTTAAACTACCTCACAGAAATGAGACATTACCCATGCTCTAGTGTAGGACTAGCTCCATAGGTAAAACAAACAAATATTTAGGTGAATTGAAAAAAAAAAAAAGTTGTAACCATAGCATCTGTCTGAGCATCCTAGCAGTAATTACATTGCCTTCCTTCAGAAACTAAGGCCTTATTCATTACAGTATCTAATTTTACACTAAAAACCTTTTAAGATATAATAAAGATGACATTGTTTCTTTCAGGAGAGGGCAGTGCACAGCAGCACATGCATTACACTTCAGACAGTAATAAGAGAAATTTTATTTTATAATTGATTCTCAAAGTTTAATTTCAGTTGTTAAATAAAATTGGAAAACTAAAAACACACACCCGCCAAAAAAACCCAAACCAAACAAACCCAATGTCTGAATCATTTCAAAAGACTTCCTACTCTTATATATACAATTTTTAGGTTCCTGTGTTTTATTTCAACTATATTCCATGTGTCTATATATCTCTCTACACTACACAGGTAGGGGGTTGTTATTTTTGTTAGTTTTCTATACAAAAAGCCATTTCAATTAAAAGGTAAAAGACATTGTTTGGATTGTGCTAACATTGATGGAATATTTTTCTTTCCTGTGATTATAGGAATCATCTGGTTGACAGGAGTGAATTTTCTGATGTTTATTAACCTTTTAATAGCTAGCTTGAAATGCAGCCTTTAACTATTTTTGTATGAAGTATGATTTTCCTTCCTTGCTGAGGCATGAAACTGTACTGTAGTTTTGATGCTTATTCTTTCAAACATAGCCTTTTAACCAACACAAACAAACAACCCAAAGGAACAAATAAAGATTATCACACTTTAAAATTACTTCTGTAGTGAGAGCAACATACTCTCTCATTTCCTTATGTACAGCTGCAAAATGAGACAACTGAAATGACTGCAAACTTATTTGGAGTACGTGTCCAAAACGAATCCTTTTGGCTACAAGAAAAATCCTTACAGAAAGTAATGAACAGCTGAGGAAAAAAGGCAAATTATTCCTACAGATAATGTAAGACACTCCCTCTCTAGAAAATGGAAACTATCTAGAAAACAAAACTATATACAAAGGGAAAAAGTCTTCAAAATGATACAAAAGTAGATGATGTTCATTTATCTTCCACCCCCACTACTCTCAGCTGAAAGAGGCCTCACACTAAACATGCCATTTCTAACTATACTCAAGGAGTATTCCCATGACTGCATCAAGAGCTGACACAGCAACTCCTTTGCACCAGTTTCCCCCTCCTGTTTTATTAGCATGTCATTACTTTCAGCTTTATTTCAGAATCTGGATGAGGACAGCACAAATGTAATTCTCTACTGGCTTTTTAAAAACTCTCAGCACATCAATAATGACCTGTAACTTTGCAGAGAATTATTTGTGTTTAACTATCTCATTCACACTCAAACATGTCACCAGAAATCTGTCAATTTCAATGAATATAGACCAAATCATATAAATGTTCAAACAGTTCTCCAAGTCCCAATGACATAATTAGAAAGGTGTTGCAGGATGAGGTTGTGAGACAATACACACACCAATATGCTTAAACTCCGAAGTTTATTAGAAAAACAAGTCCTTGTATCTTCTTGTACATTCTAAAAATAACAGCAAATCTGTGTGTGGCTCTAAAAAACTAATTCCTCTCAGCACTTTCGATAAGGACTACTAACCGTGCGCAGCCGGTAGATAAGTTTCTGCTTTGTTATTTTAAGGAATCCCTTCTTATCTGTTTCTTCCCTAACAAGCACAAATTCTTTTGCTTTTAGCCGCCGTTAATCTAGATGCCGTTAGTCTTCTAACACAAGTGCGTCGTTAATTTAGATGTCGTTAATCTTCTAATCCAAATGCTGATGATACTTTTACATTGTCAGTGATGCAGAAGGTTCGAGACCAGGCATACGCTCCCACATAAAGGCTTTTCAAAGATCACTTGTCCTACTGACCCATACATATAAAAATGTAATCCAAATTAGATATTACCAGCTATCTCTAGAGCAATCTGTACAGTCTACTGGAATTTGCCCAGAAAACTTAAAAATGAGAGATAAATGCATCATGCCTGCAAGGATGAAGTATGAAGAGATTTAAAACAATGTTCATCTTTCTATTGACTAAGAAAGGACAAAGTCCACTGCTTGCAGTGTTTTCAACTATGATAATTTTATTATCTATGAACATAGGCCATTTCTGGACCTCACTGCCCCATATTAGTTTCAGAAAATTAAGTACCTTGTTTCAAAGAGGAGGGGGAGTACATGGATTAAATGCCATTGTGAATTGAGGTCACAGTTCAATTTCAGCACATAAATTTGATTTTCACTTTATAACATTACACATATACCTCCCTCACCAAGAGAAGCAATATACACTTTGCCCAGTAATTTACTAGTTCACAAATCTGGGAATGTTTGGAGAGAAAAGGAAGAAAATGGGAAAGTGTAAAAACACTGTAACTTTTTGAGCCACTATCTGATGTTCTCAGCAGCTGCTGATTCTGTGAAAATTCTTTGTCCCACTGATATTGCCAGCCTGTTTCAGTATCTGAATCCAATTTCACTGTATTTTCTCAGGTGCTGCTACTGCATTATTATTCTGAATAAGAAACTTAACACAGCTGCTGGAAGAAGGATGGCCATGCTGTTAACACTCAGAAATGGAAGCTGGGAGTTTTGAGTCCTCATGGCAAACCTCATTGAAGATGTCCTTCAGGGCTATAAAATGCATCGCCACAGGTCTAGTTTCCCAGTATGAAATAAGGTTAGGAGACATTAATTTCTGGGGGCTTAAATCAATGAGACAGATATTTGAGATCCTGAGAAACATTCTAGAATAAAATCCCATATAATTTCTAGGCCATATGAGTGGCCAGTTGGGAAGATTTTTACAGAATCCATTTTTAACTATAATGGCAAACGCCTGGCTATACCATGTACTATCATGTCGGATTGAATGAATATATACATACAGCTTTAGAAGGCCAATTACATTATAATGGAATTTCTGTCAACAAGAACAGGAGAGACTTGATATATTCAAGAGTCTGGCTGCACTCATGTAGAAATTTAGAAGGTGACATACAGAGACCTTCCCTTGCACATGCAGCTCCCATTATCACAGTATTCAGCATGCACTAATACAGCTAGACCCTAAATTTCCCTTGTGACACATTTAGAGCTGCTGTTAAAGTTTTTCTATTGACTGATAGACAGTCAAGTATGTGCAATCACATCTTGATCTTGTCAATGAAAGGAAAACATCAGCTTGCTTTGTCTTTCTCTTTTAAGTTTTAGAAACTATCTAGAAAGGGTTTAGAAACCCTTCAGAAAGGGCACAGTAAGCTTGATTTTGTTGCTGCAGCACAAAGTGAGTGGATATCCTCCATTGTCTTGGTATCAGGAGGGAGTCTGCAGCAGACATGTCCTCAGCTACCTCTCACGTCACACTGCAGATGCCAGGTGTGGCACAGGGCTTGACCGTTGAGCCCCCAAGCCCTCAAGGTGCCACAGCTGGCTTACATGGGGCCAATGTGGGGCTCTTGTTCAGGGCAAGAGCCAGTCCCTTGCATCTAAAGCCATCATGATGCCTCATGCATTTGCTCCTCAGAGGCCCCCTACTCTGTACCATGGGGATCTCAGCATCAGAGTATATCTAGGCCAAACTGAATTTTTTGAAAACACTGTTTGTTCATTTTATTTTTTCAAGACTCTCACAGCTTCCATGATGATGGTGAGAGACAGCACAGTAGGCCAAGGAGCACCTGTGCCAGCTCCTTCTGTGGAGAAAGCAATGTCCTCATGCCCACCAAACTGTAAAGGTAAGATTCCTCTTTTTACTTTATATAACATTTTTACAAATACAGCTCAAGAAATTGAACAATATGTCAGCACATATCTTTCACTATTTATTGTCAGACACAGAAAAGAAAATTAAAGTAATCATCCTAACAGAATGTATTTGCAACACTAAATCTACACATATGTATGGAGGGTCCGCTTGTGACTAAGTGGCACAGGTGAGACCAGAGAGACTTCACTGTAGTTTCTGGATTATCACTGATGCAAGACTGCTCAAGCAAAAGAAGCATCAGGCCTATTGTCATTTTTATACAACGGACTTTTGTAAAAGTCTGCTTCTGATAGAGAAGGGTTGATGTTTTTTCAATGCCAGTTTCCAAGATCACTGACAGTGGCTGAACATACATTACAAATGACTGCATACAGGCTGCTGCTATCTTCAAAATACATTCTTTAATCAACCATAATTTAATCAATTTTCAATGTAATGAAAAGAACCCACAAAAATCAGTAAATATGCAGTCCACAGCTAAACAGAACACCTGAAAAAAGCCCACATCAAACCAAAAAAACCTACATTATTTTCCAGGGAAACCACCCTCCCTGCAAATTTTGACATCCTGCTCTGCATTCTGGTGGACACATACAAACGAACTGTAGTTACTGATATTTAAGGAATTACAGAAGTTACCCTTTTAGTTGGACACAACAACTAAATCAAAGATTAGAGCTGGATTGGAGAATAAAGTTTTTCCACTGTATTTCCTCTTTCACACCCAAGTTCAGCAAATGCTTTGTATGCACAAGCCGAACTTCAGGCATACGATAATCTCTCTTAAGTC